GAAATGTGGGTGAATTTCATGTGTTGTGGGAATTGAAGGGAAATAAAAAGATCCATTAGAGAAATTTGCTTAACATTTTCCAAAGTGACTTAGGGTGCATTTGGTACGTAGTTTGGGTGGAACAGGACGGGACAAAAATAAATAGTGCCATGTTTGACATACCATGGGATAAAAATAAGGTTAAGCAACATTGGACAAAAATGAGTTTTCATGAGACTATTTTTGAGTTTTTTTGTTCCACCAAAAAAGGTAGAACAACATGGGACTAAACCTTGAGTTTACAATTTTACCCTTATTAAATCACATCAGGCACAAATAACTCTATTTATCGTAAACAATTATAGCAGAATACAGAGTAGAAAGCACCATTGTTGTAGATTTTTAGCATTTGCATATTATGGTGGTGATGTTCGTGTGAGATTATATTGGCATCAGCTTTATTATTTTATCAATAATAACATTAAACAACATTTAGGGGCAATCTGGTCATTTTAACAGTTTTGTCATGTCTTGTCCTGTTTACCAAACGTATGAGAGACAATTAGTCCAGTCTTGTTCTACTCGTACCAAACGTAGGTCAGGCAATTAGTCTTGTCCTGTCCTGTCCAGTTTCCCCTGTGTTATTTATAAACAATCCCAAACACCCTAAAAATCAAAAGTTGACGTGTATCTAACGTACCTATTTATTTACCGGGCGTTATAATCATATCTCTTAATTAATGCCCTATCTCCCTTTAATTATGCGTATCTTTTTATTTATTTAGATTTTTCTGTTAGAAATTGAAACGGATGAATTATAACCGTTGCCCGATACCGACTTTGAAACCTATATATACCTAACGTCTATGAGGATCATGCAAGCCCCCAAAATTAGGGGTTTTTGGGTTTTCTTCATCTCCTTTGGCGGTGATAAAGAATTACCTTTGTTCATCAACATTTTCTCTGTTCTGTGCCTCGTTATTGGCGTTTTTGTTCATTGTAATTCTGAAGAAGTACAAGTCCTGTAGTTGAAGATTGATGCTATAAAGAACATTCCAGCGTGAGGATTTCTTCGTTACTGATTTCCATAGTTATGGTATTGTGTTTGTGTTTTACACTGGCACATTTTTTCAGTTTTCGGTGATGGGCTTCCTATCCGTTTCCTCCGTGGTGGTGTTTTGTAATGTGGATTCTTATTTTGCAGAAAGTAGCGGCTGATCGCTGATGTTGCATGCAGATCCTCATATGGCTAATTAAWAACACAATGCTCGAGAGTTCTCTCAGACGGGTTGGAATTGACCATTCCTGCTTCGTATTATGTTGTTTGCAGTCCATCGTGGTGCTCTGATTAATTTCTCCTCCTGATGTYAAAGAGTACGTCCCTCTCTTTGGAAGGTAGTGGTATCATGACATTTTTTTATATGATCTGCATGATAGTAATTTTGCATTTTGTGTCATGATTTCTTGAAACCGAACTTGTTTGACACTGGAATCACCTATGAGGTTCTGCAATTCCCATTTCTTTTGTTGATTTTAACCTCAAGCTTCATGTTTTGGTTGTGTTCTCATCATGTGTTTTAGATGAATTTCTTCAATCTCTGTTGAAACGAGCTTTTAAGGCACATGTCAAGACATTGAGTACAAAATGACTTGACCAATAGCATGAGTTCCTCTCTTAAGTCTATCAAAAGAATGTGCTCTGGTACAACCTTTTGTTTTTGTTTATTTTAGGTTTTAAATGTGCTTTTATGTGGGTTTCGAGTAAAGAGATACTGGTGTCACTTACATTGCATATCTACTCCTCTTGAGAAATGTAGGTATAACTCTCATATTTCAGGACCTGAGGATCAGCATCTGACTTCTGCATCATCTG